TAACAAAATTTATTTTAAATTAAAAGAATTTAAATTTAAATTACATAATATATAAGTGAGATGAATTGAAAAAAAATTAAAAAATATATATATATATATATATATATATATATACTTGCTAAAGCAAAAAAAAAGAAAAAGAAAAAGAAAATGTAGATGAGCTTGATAGGATAAATTGTTAGAGAAAAGGTCACGATTCTACTGTTTGGTTGGCTTTCACATGTCACAAAGAAAAAGGGGTTGATTAGCAGCATAGAATAAAATAAATTATATCAAAGAAAAAGGATTACGATTCTACTGTTTGGTTGGGTTTCACATGTGGAAAAGTTGACTTCTTATAAAAATTTCTACTGGATGCGTTGGTAGATTCCTTATTTTGTTTTTAACAATTTTATAAAAAATTCTAATATCATAGGAAAGGGAGGAAAGCCATTTTAGGGATGAAAATCATTTTAGGGATTAAAATATTAAATTTGGATGTATTTCTATTTAAAAGGTAAGTAATAAACTACTTGACTTGAAATGTACAAAATAAAACTACTATATATTAAATAAATGAAAATTGAGACACAACTCACAAAAAATTATTCACATTAATATTGGGTTTAAACTACTAAAGCAACGCATATGAATCAAATTCCTTATAAAGTATGAGTTTTGTAATAAACTAATCACTATATCGAAAAATAATTTATGAATTATCATTTCATATTTATATTTTAAATAATTTAATAATAATTTTTTAACAAAAGTAAAAAAATTATAAATTTAAATCATACCATGTATAAATAGAGTGAAATGGGATGAAATAAAATGAGAGAGAGGGGGCGAGTTAAGATGAGAAGAATTGTTTTCTATAATACACATAAAATAAAACGAAAAACTATTTATTTAAAGTACATTTGGATTGTTATGCAATGTTATTAACGGAATTGCTCTGTCCTTCGACTTTCTAATATTCCTTTAACATGAAGAACTTAGCACAAGTACGGTATGATAATAATTAAATTATAAACACTTCAAACAAAATTAGATTATACCTCACGCAAGTAGGATAAGAATATGTTTATCATGTACGAAGGGGCTCTTCGATTGGGCTTATAAACTCCTTTTTTATCTTTGTAATTTAAAATATTGTTAAAAAGAAAAGTTGTTTTTTTAAAAAAAATTTTAGGTTAAATGTTAAATTTAGTCTCTCAACTTTTCAAAATACACATTTTTGGTCTCTTAACAAAATTTTGCACTTTTTTGATCCCTCAACTATATAAAATGCACTCCATTAGTCCTTATGTTAATTTAGACCGTTAACTCGCTCATGTGGCATTTTTTATAGTTTTTTTGATGACACGACAAAAACAAATTGAAAACGTGTTGATGTGGATTTTTTTTTTCATGACAGCTCATGCCAACTCACATTATTACTATTTATATTTTAGAAAAATAAAATAAAAAAATTCAATCCTTCTTCCTTTCTTTCTTTTTCTTTCTTCCTCTTCTTTCTTCCTCTTTTTCCTCAGGCCATCAAACCCAGTTTGCTGGGTTCGACGGAACCTCGACTGGGTTTGATGGAACCCAGATCTATTGGGTTCGATGGAACCCAAGTTGGGTTCCGTCGAACCCAGCTCCACTTTTTTTTTTTTTTGTTTATATGATTATTTGCTAAGAGATTATCCAAATTGCAGGTTGTTGTGAGGGATTTTTGGGCAATTGGTTTTTTTTTTTTGTTATATGATTGTTTGCCAAGAGATTATCCAAATTACAGGTTGTTGTGAGGGATTTTTGGGCAACTGGGTTCTAGTGAACCGAGCTGGGTTCGATGGAACCTATTTGCTGGGTTTCATCAAACCCAGATCTACTGGGTTCCGTCGAACCCAGCTTTGCTTTATTATTATTATTATTATTATTATTATATGTTTGTTTGCTAAGAGATTATCCAAATTGCAGGTTGTTGTGAGCGATTTTTGGGATTTTTTTTTCATATTTTTTAAATATTGTCTAAATGATTTCAATCTTGAAAATGAAAAGAACATCATTAATGGAAAGAACATCATTAATGGAAAGAATAGAAGCAGTAACAGATGGGCAAATAAGCAATTCTTAGTGGTGATGTGAGACCCATTTGGACGGATTTGGTGCATTTTGGCCACGGTAGCATGATATGGTAAAAGTTTTGTGCATATCATCACTTTTTTAAATTTTGCTCTCCACATCATCAAAAAAAATATAAAAAATGCAACATAAGCAGAGTTAACTGCCCAAATTAACAGAAGAACTAATGTAGTGCATTTCGTATAGTTGAGGGATAAAAAAAGTGTAAAATTTTGTTGAGGGACCAAAAATGTGTATTTCATAAAGTTGAGGGATCAAATTTAATATTTAACCTAAATTTTAAAGTGCTCATAAATAAATTTCTTTTTAAAAAGAAGTTACAATGTGATGCTTTGTAGAAAACTCATTTATAATCACTTTATTGTAAAATAGTTTTTGGTTGCAAAAGTTCTCATTATATAGAAAAGAAAATTACTAAAATTTCCTCTTTTTATTTCATGTTAATTTGACTTTTACATGTAAAATTTTTGGCCAAATGATTTTTATATGTAATTTACTGTCATATTCTTGAATATTATAAAGCAATTTGTCATATGTGAATTGCATTATTTTTTATTATTTATAGTGGAATAAGTCTTTAATATTATGCAACTTACCTTTCTATTAATAATTAAATGAAGTACAGGTAATGTAAGGCGGATTGCACTTCACTTTTTAATTTTGTAATTAAAGTCATTTATGATAATTCAAAAAAATTCTACATATAAAAAGATATTTATGAATTTTTATCCTTTCACTAGATAAAAACATCAAATTAAATTGCACACAATTAAACAAGATCATAGAAAATGTATGTCTATGATGCCAAACAAGCCAGCTATCCATGTACTAGAAAAAACACAGTAAAAATCTATTTTTAATCTTTTATTTTAATAAATTTATAAATTTTAGTTCTTCACTTTATATTATATTAAGACATTTTTAATCCCTCATGTATATGAATTGAAGAAAATAACCTTAACTTAACGTCAAATTATAATATTTTGCTAATTTTATTAGCTGATTGTTAGTTCTATTAGCTGACTATTAATTTTATTAACTAATTATTAATTTTGTTAGTTGACTATTAATTCTGTTAACTGACTGTCAACATTTTGTTAACGAAATTAACAAATAAAATTAAATTTAAATTTTATATTTTTTATAACGAAATACTATCAGTCAACTAATAGAGTTAATAATCAATTAACAGAACTAATAATAAATTAATAAAACATTAAATAAGAGATATTTTTTTAATTTTGATACATGAAGCATTAAAAGTATTATAATATAAGATAAGGACTAAAATTTATAAATTTATTAAAGTAAAAAGTTAAAAATTAGATTTATGCCTAATCACGGTAAAGAGTAAAAACTTTTACCCATATACAGTAACTAAATCAATTACAGTTCCAAACTTCCAATGGTATGGCCATTATTAATAGTTCCTCTGCCTACCTTCTTCCTCCCTCCACTCCTCGTTTCCTGGAACTCTCCATCCCACCGTCTTCGTCAACTCCGCCGAAACCTGAACCACTTCCATCGGCGGGTCAACCCACCTCCGACATGGAAAGACCTAGATTCGTCATAGAAGCCGCCGAGGCCCAACAAATTGCCAAGCGGTCAGGCCTCACACTCCGGCAGCTCCTCCCCACCCTCGTCGAGTCGGCCCAGTCCCTGGCTCGTCCTCCAATCTCCAAGTACCACGTTGGGGCAGTCGGTCTGGGCTCCTCTGGGCGAATCTTCATCGGCGTCAATCTGGAATTTCCGGGTCTTCCACTTCATCACACCGTTCACGCCGAGCAGTTTCTCGTCACCAATCTCTCCATCAATGCGGAGCCCCGGTTACAATACTTCGCCGTCTCTGCCGCTCCCTGTGGTCATTGCCGCCAGTTCCTCCAGGAAATCCGCGGCGCTCCCGATATCAATATCCTTATTACTTCTTCCCAAAACGAAAACGACAATGCAAACCCACAAGGAGACACGGGGATTGAGGAAGAATTCGAATTCAATCCGTTGTCGTATTATCTTCCGGAGAGGTTCGGTCCCGACGACCTTTTGGGGAAAGACGTGCCTCTGCTCCTGGAGGCACACGACAACGCCCTGTCTTTCTCCGAATTTTCTAACGGAGAAATCACCGGAGATGACTTAAAATACGCTGCTCTCGACGCCGCAAACATGTCCCATGCGCCGTACAGTGGATGTCCATCTGGGGTGGCGTTGATGGATGTTGAAGGCATGGTATACAAAGGCTCTTACACGGAGTCTGCGGCGTATAACCCCAGTCTAGGGCCGGTTCAGGCGGCCCTTGTGGCGTACGTAGCCAACAGTGACGGTGGTGGGTACGAGAGGATTGTTGGTGCGGTGTTGGCGGAGAAGGCAGATGCCACGGTGAAGCAAGAACACACGGCAAGGCTGCTTTTGCAGTGTATTTCTCCAAAGTGTGAGTTGAAGGTATTTCATTGCATATCTTTGAAGAAAAAGAGCAAAAATCCTTCTGCTTAATTGTGACTATATTGTAATTGTTGGAAAAAAAAGAAATTGAAATTGGCGGATCAATCAATGAATATCATAATTCATATATCCTTTTTTTTTTTTTTTTGTTGATATCTCAAAATACCAGTCTTAGACCCTTCTGTTTCTTGAATCACAATTCATTAGATCAATTGCATGCATATTCAAAAGTTTAGATGAACGCTGCACAGATGAGGATGTTATTATTATTTTTTTTCCGAAGAAACCATCATGAGTTGTATATTATCATGCATTTATGGGCAGATGCTCTGTCACAGTAAGAACTTGAGACCCAAGTTAGAGGTATCGGCTTTGAATCTTGAGATAAGTGAGTAGGGATATGGGAAAAAAGAAGGCTATCTGTGCTAAAAAAATGTTTATAAATTTTATTTTAGTTTTACTTTTTGATCTTCAATACATCTATGGGTAGAATTCTACTACTTTTGCTTTGTAGAATTGTAGTAGTCCTTGTGTCATGTGTGTTTAAAGCATGAAAAATAAGAAAAAGGAGCCTGCTTTTGGTGATACTTTTAAAAGTTATTGCTGATAAAGGCATCCAAAACAAAAGGGGAAAGAATCCCTTCTCTAACAACTTTTTTCGAAATTGCTCCATGTTTATCTGCATTCTCATTAGTGGGTTGATACTGCTGCCCTGGAGTTCCATTATCTCTGACTTCTTTTCTTTTACCTCTTTAAATTTAATGGCAAAAGATTTACATGTTTTAATTTACTTCTCTCTGTACAACTCCTCTAAGTGGCTTGGCAATTTAAAGTGGTAGGGCCTTGTTGGCCAAAAAGTGTTGTGCAATTTGGTTTTTATCAACTTGATAGGGTCATAGGTCATGTCCATTACCTTTACACCGAAATGATCAAATTTTAGGTCCTGTGGAGAGTTTCATTCCCATTCCAACCACCACATTACCATTGACCTGTAATTGGATTGATTTGTGTTCTTTTGATGTTTGGTGTGCGTTTCTATTGCAAAATGCTGCTTTTATTTGAATATAGGTCCAGATCTCTGCAGTGATGTCGACCTCAGGTTTGGAACTTTCTCCCAAGACAGCTGGTGCTTTGAAATTATGAATACTTTGGTTTGTAGTGTGAAAAGATTATGAATACTATGGTTCATCCTGAAGGAAATAAAACAATGCAGGTGCTGGAGACAGACTGCAAACCTTCATAGTTTCGTAGCTCAAGTGCAAGATTGACTCGTGAAAATAAAGGGCTGTGTAAGATTGAAATTGAAAATTGAAATACCAAAAGTTTCTACCGCAAAAGGTATCTGCAGATGATGTTGTTGCTCGGTTTTCGTCACTGAGTTCCTGGCTTCCTTCTACAAAGCACCAGGTAGCTTAAGAATGATAACAAGAATGGGGTATTTGTGTGTGCTGTATGTTACCTTAGCTAAATATTTTATGCATCCCTATTATTGAGTTGTTTTACTCGTCATTCTCCGGAAATCATTCTTTGCAAACCACAGAGACACAGATCACGAAAGCCAAATTAATGGAAATATATATTGAAGCTTATGCATTTGCTAATGAGAAATAAGAGAAAGATATAAATATATATATATATAGATGAGAACTTAAAAGAATGGTAAAATATATTACGTATTGGCAGGTGTTGGTAGCAGAGTATGATTAGGGAAAGGTAAACGAATATTATAAAATTGAATGAGCAAGAAACAGTATGCCGTTTTAGCTCAGCCGGGAGAGCGGATGGCCTTTGACCACGTGAGAATACCCTGTTCTTTGTAAACGGCTTAGTTTAGTTGGTAGAGGTGAGAACACCCTGTCCTTTGTAAGCGGCTTAGTTCAGTTGGTAGAGTTGTGGCGCACATGGCTATTTTTTTTTTATTATTAATCTTTCGTTATCTGATAATCACATTAAATTTTAATTAATTTAAAATTGAATCGTGTCGAATCCATTAGTAAAAAACTCTCCAAGCATCTATTTTTCAATTCACAAAACTTAAATTCAAAATTTTATTTAAAATGAATTAAACCTTTTCAAATCGAACTAACAGATCATTGGCACATGGCTTTTAACAATGTAGTCTTGGGTTTGATTCCACATGCGACATATGATAGTTCTCTTGCATGATAATTGTTGTGTGAGTACTCTCTTAATTTTAATATATTAGATAATGAACTACAATAAAAAATAACTCTTTCTTTTAAAAAAAAATTTTTTTATCTATTTTAGAATTCAAATTCAAAATTTCAAATTTAAAGCCTTAACCTTCTAACCACTTCAAGACACCCCTTTGGGTTATGGGTTCTCTCCTTAAAACTATATAATAACTACATTATCATCCCATTTTCCTAAGTTCAATTATTATATAACAATATTTGTAAGACTTACGCATGTATAAGTGTGTCCTAACTCCATACTCAAACGTACAAACAAAAAAGCAAAAGAAAATTAACAATATGAATTTTCATTTACAATATAATGTTTGAAGTTAGGTATATAACAGCCAGAATGAGAATCACAAAGAATGCAGCAGCAATGAATTTCCGCTTGGTATTGTTTTAAAAGGGAAAAAAAGAAACACCAATATACAATATAAATTATAAAATATTGGATAGCTAGTGATGGAGGTCCAATGGCATGCAGCATAGCATGGCAATTCACAACTATAGATTGCAGACATATGCTTGCACTTGCATTTAATCCTTCATTTAAGATGATGCTGGCTTGTCGACCAGAGAAGAGAGCGCTTCAAGATTAATACCTTCGACTCCCTTTGTTGGACAAATGCTACAACGTGCTGTGTTGTGCATTTTGATAGCATCCTTTATTTTTTGAAACTGCAAATGATTTTGAAAAAGAACCAGATGTAGTTAAAATGTAAAAGATATATTGGAAGATCTTCCCTGAATCACACAGTTGCAGAAGAAAATTGATTCCTCACAAATGCCATGTTTACAAATTTAAATATGCTAACAAGGGCATGGCTTCAATCTCAGGGACAATGAGTGTTACTGTGATGGTGTTCTTTTAGGAAATTTTGCATGGTTCAATTACCATGACCATTATTTTTTGCCCGAGCAACCGACATGACAATAACCATATCTTGGGTTCATATTAGGTCTTGACAGATGCAATCATGCAGAGGACATCTATAAAAATAACAGAAAACAGAGAGCATAAATTGCTGACCTTAGCAAGTGAACATGAAAAAGATTCCAGCAAGCCATCAGCTCCTCGATAAAAGTGAAAATAAGGAAGTACCTTAACATTTAGACTCTTGCACATAGGCTTATTCTCATCAAAATTTACTTTCAAGAGCAAAATTTCTGGGTGCACTTCAGCTGTCTTGCAGAGCTGGGATAATCACAATCCAGTTTTTGTGTTAGATATTTATCAGAAGACAATAAATAGAGATTGCTAATCATCATTTAATTCGACATGCAAATATAGTTCATAAGTTATATGGGAAGAACCCAATCCCCCTCTAACCAGCACCAGCCCCAGCCCCGGCCCCCAACAGAAACACACACACACAGAGGATGAATTCAGCATGCAATGTATATCTTCTTTTTTTTTTTTTTTTTCCCTCTCAAATATGTTATTACTGCAATAGTGCAAAGAGAATAGCATAACAGCTTCTATAAGTCATTTTTAAAATTTATAATATTGAATCGTCAACTTAAATGTCAAGGGAACGTATTTTATCATCTTATAGGGCAGAAAGTGAATGTACCAGATTAGTTAGCCAGACTTGTTTTTTACTTTGTTTTAAGTTAAGCTTTAGGTCAATTATGCTTAATTGAAACTGAAGCTGAATCAGCATTACCAGCCACTAGAGAAAAAAAATTGTTAGCACTTTATAAATAGGCCAGTTAGTCTGTGCTTTGAGGAGGGAATATTCAGTTAAAT